AGCCAAATGGCGGCCGCTTTAAGGCCGAAAATGCATTGAAATCGCACATTTTCACCATTCCGGACCCGGATCTCAGTTATGCATGGACGGATTTCATTCAAATTTGGTACATACATTAAACATAATAGGACCTTGATGCACGTCATTTTTTTTTTCGGATCAAGTTCGAAATAGCCGACTGGCGGCCATTTTGTTTTAAAGAATTCAGTTCTGGATCCGTATCCGAGACATGTCTGGATTGATCAAGTTCAAACTTCACACACACATGGTACATCATGTCACAAATAGATATGTGCATTTGTTTCATGATCTGCTTAACAATAGCGGAATGATGGCCATTTTAAGGCCGAAAATGCATCAAAATCATGTATTTTCACAATTCCAAAACCGGATCTCAGTCATGCATGGATGGATTTTGTTCAGATTTAGCACAATGTGTTGTACATATGCAGGTGCATTTCGGTCATGATCTGCTTTGAATGTATATGTCACTCAAATATGAACGGAACGGGGACGTGTCATTGACAATGACTTGTTAAATAGTTGTTTCTGTAAATTTATGAACACTACCACAGGGAATATTGTAGGTGATCCACAGACAAAGATTGTGTTTAGTGGCTTATTCCAGCTTGCAGTAGATTACTAATAGACTATTGTTTACCCAGGATGTTTATTTATAGACCTAATGGTTTATTGTGGTGTGATCCTAGATAGTAACTGATAATAACGATTATAGGGATATTTTTAACAATGGTAAGATGATGTATATTGTTAGCAGCTGTACCATTACAACTGAAAGCGATGTGACTTTACACAGTTTCTATCACATCCTAAGATACGTATAAAAGCTGTGACATTCATGTTTGTAAATTTTGCAATTCAAGATAGCTTACTGCAAATGAAATATCAGTTAGATGTCACGCATCTTTTGATGGATATTTGTCATTGTCTTCCACTACTCATATTTACTGATTATACATGCACACTTTGTAAATACCATATTTACTCTATTAGCAGCACATGCACTAATTACACAGGTGTACCTATCATTAAAAACATACAGGGACTATGTCATCATTTGTGATTCAATTTTAACATAGTATTGTATTCTTGAAATAAAGAAAACATATTCTTCTTTTAATAGTTGTTCATCAATTTTGTCAATTAATATTCTTTTCCGAACTCACCAGATAGATTAATATTCGCCAAATAGCTCATTATGTTTGTGTCTTGTCTGTCGCTGTGACTTTTTGATTAACAAATACATTACTAATTACTAAAACTAGAGTGTTGGACAGCTTGCACGTGATTCTCACTAAAGTCAGATATTGTTTTTGAAAAATCAATGGTATTATCCATGTCAGGTGCTGTCTCTTAAAACTACCTACCAAGCTAGGAATGCCCCTCTCCAACTCAGTAATATGAGTGACTGGGAGAGATATTAAAATCTGAGCGAGTTGAATGAGTGCTCTTCTCAGATGACATGCCTATCATGTGACTCTAGAAGCAACTTGATTTTATTAACCTCTACGGCTTTGTCATCTCTGTATATCCAAATCAAACAACTTTGTGATGAACATTTGTTGCTTAAAGACCCAAGTATACTATAAATACGCTTCTAAACAATAGGGATGATTTTCTTGAAAGTCACGCTGTTGTAAACAGCTACAGTCAAGCTCTGGTAAAAACGCGTTTTCTCGAACTTACAGGTCGATTATGTCGTGACAAGTAGATGTATGTGACTGAAAATAGTACGAGTTGAGATTTTGTTGGATAAACCTCAAAAACAATCAATGTCACATGACGTTGGGCCGCTGAAACAGGTTGCGTCATCTAATCTCCAAAAACATTGACACAATTCCTAATACTTTTCTCATTATCACATAGTGGATTTAACGGAGACAATGAAAATCGTGTTCGCAAATTTAAAAGTTACCACAGAGAGTACGAGCTAGAAATACCCCTCGTCCTGTTTTAGAAATGAATAATGTGTTTAGTATTGTTTACTACACTAGTCGGCATATAGCAGTTTTATTAAGTGGCTATGGTCGGTCATCATGTTTTTGCATGCAGTGATACATCGTCTCAAATTTATTATCTTTACTATTGCCACATATCAGTAGCAGCATTTATGCGTGTGAAAGTGTGAACGCCATGCAGTGAATATTTTTCCATGGTTAACCGCGAGCTTGACAGCATACGTGCATCGTGGTCATCGTTGAATTGTTGTTCAACGATACGATACAAGGCTGACAAATGGGTATGATACGTCATTTCTGCATTTCAGACGAATGCTATAGTAGAAATAAACGTACCGTATTCAAAAAAATGGTCAATGCCATATTAGCTTGCCATTACGGAATGTCTATGCAGCTCACGTCAGTGTTGTATGGAAGCAAGTCTGACTAAACTATGAATTTCTGTAAACATAGGCAATGCAAGTGATTAACAGGACTCATTTGCATAGTCACACCTTCAATAAACACTAGCCCAGGGCAACATTAGTTGTAGAGGACATAATATACATTTTTTTTTTTTTTTTTACAGAGACTTGGTGTGAGAACGACATACGACAACATGGATGCTGTAAAACCTAGTAATGTTGTTTTCCTCGCTGTAAAACCGAATATGATGCCCACAGTTCTTGATGAAATTGCTCCAGTTATTAATGAACGACATCTTGTAGTGACGCTAGCTGCTGGCATTACAATTGATTTTGTAGAACAGGTGAGAATGAGTGTTTTTTTCCTTAGTATGGTCTGATTGACTGCAGCATTTGGACAAAAACCGAATCAATGTTTGAAAAATCAAGATGGCATCAATATTTGGTGGAATTTTTTATTATGCTTACAAATTCTGTCTAGCTTTGTTTTTTTGGGGTCGATAGTTAATATTAATTTCCAAAGACTGAATGCAATGTCATGAGCCAATCAGAATGTTGAATGTCATGAACCAATCAGAATGTTGAATGCCATAAGCCAATCAGAATGTTGAATGCCATAAACCAATCAGAATATTGTATCTCATAGACCAATCAGAATGTTGTATTTCATAAACCAGTCAGAATGTTGAATGTCTTCTATAGATTTGTTTCTAATTTCAGAAACTACCACCCAATGCAAGAGTGATTCGTGTGATGACAAACACACCTTGTATAGTGGGAGAAGGTGCCACGATATTTGCCAGGGGGGCAGCTACAAAACACACAGATTCTATAATTGTTCGCAAGTTTTTCTCCAGTATAGGATTCTGTGATGAAGGCGATGAGTCTTTCATTGACGCAGTCACTGGACTCGGCGGAAGCGGCCCTGCCTATGTAAGAATAATTTAAAGTAACTTGTGCTAATATTAAAGGCCTGTTTACTAAATAATGATAAATGAAACTTAGAAAGCTTGTAAGAACAAACTGGGCCCAAATCGCGCAAATTCCAATAAGTTTACCCTGGTTCGGATGGAGTTCTACGCGTGATTTTATTGCGCTCAAGGACGTTCTATTTTTAAACTAGTTGAAACCGGAAATAACGCAACTACTTTCGAACTTCAAACACAAATTTGATTATCGTTATTATGTGTTAGTTTCTGTTGTTTCAAAGATTGAATTATGTATGACAATAATATTTCACTCTATAAACAATGTTTCACTAAAATGTGTGATTCAAAGGCAACCCAAATTGTAAAAAGCAATATCAAGTTCCGCATATAAACACTGTTGTAAAGAGGCGGCGGAGCGGGATTTTAGCCAAAATCGGCTAGTAAGGCGTCATATGACACAGGTTTGTGCTGGGACAGCGCTTCCGGTGACGACACAACGGAGCACTCGGAATTACGCACGCGCAAACAATCAGTAATGACGTATGATGGTTTAACAAACGGAGCTTAGGGTACGTACAATAAACACTTCACGATGTTGATTCAGTGCATACAGAAGGGCCCGGTACCAAATAATTGAACTAGTTTCAGCTAATAGAACGGAAATAATTGCTATTCATGTAGAACACGTTTGCAATACAAAAAACTAGGTCGTTACAGCTAGTGTATCTTTAATTATTAATTGGCATAATTTCACAAACTTCTGATCAAGACTTACCGGTATAGTAAATTACGTCTATTTGGTCCAAACCATCTGGGGATATATATTTGGAGAAAATTTTTACATTCTGCAAAGAATATTGTAATATTTTCAAATGAAATATCAGAGGTTTTTCTTGAAAAAAATTGCAAGAGGGAGTACTGTAATTCAGCGGCGCCACCAAGTGAGGGAGATAGGATTCTTCCTACCAGGCTATGGAGTTTTGATAATTAAAATGGAAGTTAAAATGGAGCATTCCATGGCTTCCTTGGGGCCAAAATTACAATCAGACAGGTCACAGTTGAAGACTGGCCACATGTGATCCCTGGGCAATCAGAATTTTATGGTTGCCAGAGGATCTGCTCCCCAGGGTAAGGGGGCACATGGCCATGGCATGAGGGCAATGCGCCCCTGTTTCCTTGTTTAAAAAAATCCCTGGAATATGATATAAACATACTAGAACATGTATTGCGCAATTTGTGAATTTGTAATAACCAACATCATGTCCCAGAAAGCTGAATGGGCAGAGTTCTCACATTATTCATTGTGTAAGTTCAAATGCAGCCTTTCTGATTTCGGTCAGTGATTTCGGTCAGTGATTTCGGTCAGTGATCTATATAAAAGTTGTAGAACAATTTATGAGAACAAAGGCATATAAAAGTCTTACGACATTTATGGTATAGTGGTCGAAAGACAATTTATATGAACAAAGAGGTTTGACTTGAGAAAATGAGTCACACTCAGAACCAGGATATAAAGTCCTTCAATAGATCCTTAAGGATTTTAAGGAATCTCAACAACTTTTGCCGTTAGTATGCGTACTTGATAAGCTAAAGTGTAAGAGTGATTAAGACACAAACATCGGGGTCACAAACCCTATTCTGCTACAGCTGTTGTAAATTACATGTAATAAACCTCAGAGTAACTTGACACAGAGTTACACATCCTGGATGTACATAATCTTGTTTAAAAATCTCATATAAATTTTGTCTCACAGCAATTTTATTCCTATGTGCCGTTTTATATATTTGTTAAACTTTAATCTAATTTGTGTTTAAAAAAATTCTGCCATTTTGTTTTTCCATCAGGACAAGCTGTTGTCGTCCTTGATAACTCATTCTAATTGTTTGTAGGCTTTCTGTGCTATGGATGCATTAGCTGATGGTGGTGTGAAAATGGGGTTGCCAAGGCAACTAGCACTTAAACTTGCTGCACAGACATTGCTGGTATGCCCATTCATATTTTGTTGTTTTCAGATTAAAAATTAATATATTTAAAAAACCCTTAGTATTTTGATTAAAATCATTTGATTTTAGTGGCACACACTTGATCTGTTCGTTTTGTGTAATATTTGAGAGCTCACAGTGAACGGAAAATCTCTTTCATTTAACTAAACTTGCATAAAATTTATTTTATTTTGATTGTTTGTAATCAAATCTGTGGATGGACGCATCAATAACTAGTACATACATGTAATACATTTGCAGAAAATTTCAAATGTCTGCAGATATTTTGCTCAATCAAATAAATGACAAAGAATAAAATTAAAAGAGGGGTTGGGAGTTGTTTCTATGGAAACAGTGACTTAGAGAGTTTCTTCAAACAATTAACTAGCCCTTTTCTGTCAGCCATTTTGAATTGAAATTTGGTCAAATATGTACAACTGAAATTCCAAAAGTAGTTTGGATATACCACAGCTCTTTCCTTGGATTTCCAAATAACCAGTCATAGGATATAAGGAAATTCCTGGTTTAATTAATGATATTTAGGTCATTGACCCCTGTGGTACATGTAAGGTCACATCCTTCCTTCCTTGACATACCATACTATAATGACATTATAAATAATGTCAACTTTTTTTACTGAAAATGAATAAGATAGGGGAGCTTGTAACTTATATTTAAACATTTGTCATTCTAGGGAGCTGCTAAAATGGTTTTAGAAACTGATCGTCACCCTATGGATTTGAAAGATGATGTGTGCTCTCCAGGCGGTTCTACAATCTGTGCCATTCATAGACTAGAAGAAGACGGATTCAGAAAGTGCCTTATAAATGCTGTAGAAGTTGCCACACTAAAATCTAAAGAACTCTCTCAGCAAAAGTAAAGAGACAATTATTAAATGACACTGTTGTCATGACTACACATAGCACATATAGGGGTTTTGTAAGCACAGCTGACAAAGGCCTGGTACATGCAAGCTAGTAAATACACAAAATGGACACCAAAATGTGTCATAATTTTTGTGACAATAAAGTACTAATTACCATATTTCATTTGAGGTAGCGGGACTATTATTTGCATACTTGTTTTCATCTTCTAATTGTGAGTAAATGACTACAAATAGACCCGGGAAAGTATATATTTTTAGAATCGCCAGACTTCAAGCTTTTCACAAGTGTATTTTGCATGCCCGTATCTGCATTCTACGACGCGTTACTCAATCAAAGGTGAAAAATTACTTTTTCTGTAAAAAAAAAAATTACGCATTTATGCTGGCGATAAGAAGTATTTTTTTTCACTTCTCCTAGTTGTTCAATAGTCTGGTAAATTGAATGTGTCTGGTTAGTTTTATTCAAGCAACGCGTTTTAAAAAATAGTGTCCTGAATTTCAATTACTGTTTAGTCGCAT